TTTTTTTTTTTTCTAAAATAATAAATACGTTTATTATTATTATTATACTAATTAAATACATAAATACACAGATATATACACCAACAGGTATCATGAAGGCGGGAACCCCAATAAAACCTACTTGGAGATTTTCTGCCACCTCCTTGCCCGGCCGGCGTTGTCCAACTGTTCTCTGCAAAATCAAATGGGGATAAAGGTAACCATTTTTCCTGCTATTCAATTTCTTCATCGGCAGCAAGCTCATAGTTGGCGCCTCGCAAATTTCTAGGGTTTAACGAAGCTACTGGCGGACAATGCGCCCAAGGCTATGAAGGCGCAGAAATTCGAAAGCTATTTCGGCCGGAAAATTGCAATTGACGCCAGCATGAGCGTTTACCGGTTCCTTGTCAGTATATTTTACATAGCTGTGCCGAATACTAAATTTTCGTTTACCACGATTTTTATTGGGAGCAAAAATGCTAAATTCTTCTTACCCTGCTCGCTACTAGTGTTTCTAGAAACTGACAAGGTTAATTTGAAGGCTTCACGAGAGGCTTGAATGAGTTCATATGAATTTGTTGGTATATGGATGATGTGCATCAGTAAGGAAATGTATGAATATGAGTAAAAAGAATGATAAAATGGATAATATGTTGGGGACTGATGATTTCAGATTGTTCTTGGAAGGCGTGGTACTCAAATGCTCACCAATGAAGCTGGTGAAGTGACGAGGTACAGTCGTCACTCACAAGTTGGTGTTTTTTGTCATGAGTAACTGAAATTAATTTATGAAAATGCATTATAAGTAAAATGCTTTAGTTTGTCTGATTAAAGCGTGGTTTAATTTATTAGAAATGAAACTTTAGTCTGAAAAGTACTTCATCACGAGTATATCCAGACCCTAAGTGAAATTCAATCTTGATTTCTAACTGGTGGCTGCCCCTTTCAGTCATCTACAAGGGATGTTCGGAAGGACCGTCCAACTTCTGGAAGCTGGAATAAAGCCAGTGTAATGTGTTCCTTTGTGTTGTTATCTGTACTCCTATATTTCTGCATGATGTCTTCATGTGAAAAAACATTGTGCTTTATATTGAAAGAATCGGCCTTTGTGTAGCTATGTCTTTGATGGGATGCCTCCTGATTTGAAGAAAAATGAGCTTGCAAAAAGGTATTTTGGCGATTGGATTGTATTCGTCGCTTTCAATTAATGAATATGGTTTGGATAAGTTCTAATGGGGACTTCAGTATGGTTAATGCAGAGTTTTAAGAAGGGATGATGCAACCAATGGCCTGAACGAGGCTCTAAAGGTAAAAATTTTAAATGTACTGACAAAGTCTTTTATCATCATTTTCCAGACATTGCATCTGCTGCCCCCTCCTTGGTATCATCTACAACCTTCAGAGTATCTAACAGCCTAATCCTTCCCTTGCCTTTGCAGACTGGAAACATTGAGGACATCGAAAAATTTAGTAAAAGAACAGTAAAGGTCAGTCGTTGCTTTAATACTAATGTTCAATATAAGCTAGCACCTTTGATAATAAATGCTTCTTGACACTCTTTTTCCTTGAAGAGTTAATGTACACCCCATCCTTAGTTGAAGGTAAATCAACGTACTGACAACCTATTTGGAAAGTATGAACGCTTTTAGAACTTTAAGGATCCTTAGATATCACATGCTATAAGTAGTTCTGTCTGATTCTATAATTAGGTCTGACCAGTGCTATGTAAATTGTCTGAAATGTTCATCTTAAAAATGAAATCAACCTGCTTATTTGAGTTTCATTAAATTTGTTCACCTTGACATCAATATGGCTTGCGATACCTTGACATCGATTTGGCTTGCGATATTGGAAGTATGTGCAATATAGTACCTCTGTTAGGATTTTGGTGCCCTTCATTTTCCTTCTAATTGAATTATATGAGCTACACAGCTATATATCTGTGAAGCAATTTGGGGATATTCACTTTTTACTATCCACAGGCTACGGAGAAACATTATGAAGACTGCAAACGGCTTCTTAGACTTATGGGAGTGCCAGTGATTGAGGTGATGCAATAAAGTATTTATTGGGTTTGTCTGAATTCATACTGTTCATTTTCACTCTTGCATTGTTTCTTGGGAAGTTATGAGCAGTGAACTCACTTTTTCTTTTCTGGTGGAAGGACTCACTTACTCATTTGTGATTCTCTTGATAACTCACTTAGGCACCGTGTGAAGCGGAAGCACAGTGTTCAGCACTTTGCAAAGCGGGCAAAGTAAGTGTATTAATACTATGTTTTCTTTCATGATTCTATGTTCTGGCATAGTGCCACGAGTAGGACAACCTATGGAAATCGTGATACTTATTAGCACCAGGATTTCCGCGATAAATGTCTGTTGATAATTTGAGAAGATATAAGACCTACTGGTTCATGAACTGTAACACTTTCCCCAACCCCTGACCTTCAAAAACAACTAAAATGGAAGGAAAAAGAATAAGAAAGAATAAGATGTACATCTAGTTGTGCACTTATGTAGAAAATCTTCACTGCATGTCAGGTATATGCTGTGGCTTCTGAGGACATGGATACCTTAGCTTTTGGTGCTCCGAGGTTTGTCCGCCATTTTATGGATTCTAGCTGGAAAAGGATCCATGTGATGGAATTTGAACTCATAAAGGTACTAAAATATTATTGGACAAATCTGATGGCACACTTCTCTGATTTTATGTAATGTTACAGGTTTTGGAGGAGCTGAACCTCACAATGGATCAGTTTATTGATCTTTGCATTCTCTCCGGTTGTGATTACTGTGAAAGCATAAGAGGTAATATTTCATGTGGATGGTGTTTTCTTTTGAAATTTGAACGTACCTGTCTGGCTCATACAAGAACCAATAAAAATTCGGTAAAGAGCACCTTTGGGTTATCATGTAAACATGCTATCCCTTGAATTTCTTGAGAACAAAATATTTCACAATTATTCCTTTTTCTTTATGTATAAGGTCTCTATTAGTTCATTGGATTATCAATTCATTGGACTATGTACTAGCCAAATAATAAAAAATAAACACAAAAAGAAGACGAAAAACAACATAATAAGCTAAAAAGAAGAGTGGAAAAAAATTATATTATGTTCAAGTATATATTTATTGATTTAATCTAAAACAAATTTTATTTATTTTGGCCAAAATAAGATTAGCACGGGGCTAATATAATGTAACATGAGCTGAAATAATTTTCTACTAGTATAAGTATTAAAAGAAACTAAAAAAATTAGAGCGGGTTCCTTTGGGGTGGCTCCGCCCCTGGCTGCACTAACTGAATATGTGCTTTGCTTAACCACTTGTAATAAATATATAGGAAATTGATAGTCAGACACTCAGATAACAATTGCGGCTAATATATAGTTCATGTGAGGTTTTTGGTTACATGCATATGTTGGAATATGTTATGTTATTGTGAATTCAACAAACCCCTATGTAAAATATATTCCTGTGGTTACATGCATATGTTGGAATATGTTATGTTATTGTGAATTCAACAAACCCCTATGTAAAATATATTCCTGTGTTTGCATGAGTTAGTTTCGTCAATATTAACCCCAACTCTGCCAGGACCTTTTATAATATAATGTTAGCATAGCCCAATGTAAGCAATATTTTGTTTCTCAGGTATTGGAGGAATCACTGCTTTAAAACAAATTCGCCAATATGGCTCAATCGAGGGCATTATGGAAAATCTTAATCACAAAAGGTGCAGCGTATACTTTTTTTGTGAAAATTTCTTGAGTGAAATTTGTGTTCTATTTTCCGGAGTCATTTTATCCAATCCCAACAGGGTTAATTTTTAGTAAAATAAACTCCCAATGATGTTTCATGTTCAACTTATTGTATGTTATGCGATTCTTTTTGTTGATCTCGATCAAAGATACAAAAAGTGCACATACTGTGGTCTGACTAGAATTTGAGTACTGAAAATACATATTTTTCCAAGTGCTGTAGAGTGCAATGGTAATATTTCCATTCACAATTATTTTGTAGTTCATTGACAATTGAGACGTTGAAATCTTTTTGTTACTTATCATCTTCATTTGCAGATATCAAATACCGGATGAATGGACTTACATGGAGTCTCGAAGTCTCTTTAAGGAGCCATTAGTCTTGACTGAAGATCATCAACTTGAGCTAAAATGGACAGATCCAGATGAAGATGTGCCCAACCCTGTCAAAACTATTTACATCGATCTGAATTCCTTTTGTTTTTGCACTTTCATGGTTAATGACTAATTATTTGTCTTCTCCAATAGGGGCTGATAAGCTTCTTGGTCAACGAAAATGCATTCAACAAGGACAGAATAACCCAGGCATGTTTCTGTTTTCATTGTTACAGCCACTTTCCCCACCCGGGGTCCTTAACATCTGAAATATGAGACCTTACAAAATTGTTTGATATTTTTCAGTCCATAGAAAGGGTTATGACTGCCAAAAGCAAGTTGTCCTACAGCCGGTATGAATGAAGCAGTTCAATTAGAAAAGCATTTTAGTATTTTGTCATATGAATATTTCTTTTCGGGCTATTTTCTTTAACAGGTCAGAGTCATTCTTCAAACCAGCTGTCGGTCAATCGGTTCCTGCTGAAAGAGTGGTAAGTTATCTACCCTCGAGCATTTTGATTCTTCCTAGTTTGACAGATGGGTCAATTTCTACGTTGTAGTAAAAACTTGCTTGAAATAGCATACTAAGGCCATGTTTGGTAAAACTCGCTGATATGCTAGCTGATAGCTTATTAGTAATTTTCGAGCTTATAGCTGAAAAACTAGCTTATATGATAAAAGTGTTTGGTAAAATTAATTGATAAACTAGCTGAAATAAAAATTTCAACGAGCTTATTTAAAAAACTACCGAAAAAAGCTTATCAAATAAGCGAGAGTTTTTTTAAATAAACTCGTCCTACCAAACGAATCTTATTTAACTGCATGGAGCTTATAAGCTAATCAAATAAGCTATAAGCTAGCTTATTGGTCTACCTAACATAGCCTAAGCGTTTTTAAGGATTTTATTAGAAGTGCCTTTTTCTGATCGGTTATAATGGCATTTGGCACTGGCCAACACAGGAAACAAGATGTGCATTTGTAGCCCCAAAACCAGTAATGAAGGTCGGCACTTGTTATCCTGTAGAGGCATCCGTTCATTCAAGACCCAAAGCCATGGGCAGCAAGAGCCCCTCGTCTTTAGATATGCGGTCTAGCCAACCCATGTTTTGCTGAGCAGAAAGGCCCCAATCAACCTGAATTCATAACTATTTTTTGGCTCGCTTGATTCTTGATAGCGTCAAAAATGTTCTATTATATAAAAGATTATTTTGATTCCGGGTAAATGGCTCTCTTCTCCAGTAATTTCATTGTTGGGATAATTTGTTTCCAAGACCCCTGCAATTTGGATAAACTACTCGTTTTGGAAATTTAAGCTAGTCTATATTGGATATAAATTAGTCCGTACGTAATGCAATGACGGGATAGATATTAAGGGAGTGATTGTTTATGAATTCAACTAGTTTTTGTTTGGTTTGTTTTTAACTATAGTTAATTTTTTAAAAATGTGGTATGATTAGTTGTTAGTGAATATATTAAAATAATATTTAAATAAAATAATTCAAGTTGATTTGATGTAAAGTAAGAGAAAATGATTGGAAGTGATGGTTAGTTAAAATTATGTGAGTAGATGAATATTGAATTAAAGTTGATGTGATGCGTAAAAATTATTGGTTGATATTATAAATTATATCCAATCGCCCCCTAAATGATTCATTTGGATCATCATTTTTTCATCTATTTTCGGGTTTGTTTGGCAATCAGTTAGATTTAACGGTTCCGTAATTCAAAATTATATAAACTGATATAAAATAAAATGTCGCATATAAAATGTTCATATATACACATATGTGCTTCTATCGATTTTTTAATTTAAAGTATCTCATAATAATCATAAGAAGTTAAAATAATTGCATATACTAGTGCAACACCCGTGTATTACACGAGTGCTTGCTAATAATTTTTTTTCTTAAAATTTAAAATTAATGAGAAAATGTAGGTGAAAATTTAAATACCTTTATAAAAATATATATATTAGTATATATTTAGTATGACACTTTTTATTTGTGTGACTTACTTGTGTTATATTATAATAATTTATTCATTTTATATATACATTATGGATGTCAAATCGAAGATCATGAAAAGACGATTAATTTGATATATTATATATGTAAAACCGATAAGAAATACAAAAGTTATCAATTTTTAAAATACATTTATAATTCAATAGCTAATTGAAGGAAACAAATCAAAAGTCAGGAATATATTAGTCATTTAGTGTCTCACTATGTAAAATTATATATAGAGTCACGTAGCCTCAGCGCATTCTAAAATTATATATAGGGGATATCATGTCATCTATAATAACTAATTTTTTGTAAAAACAAAATAGGTTACGTTGAAAAATGAAAAGCATTGTGAGTTTATTTATATTAATTTATCAAATAATTCAATTAATCACATTAAAAATTTTCAACCATTATACATTGGAATTTCATTTTTTTTTTCATAAATATAAAACACCTTTGATATAAAGAATTAATTATTTATTTAAAAAAAAAAAAAATAA